TTGGCATCAAATTGTGCCCAGACTAGCACAAACAACAAGTACTGGGAGGAATAACAGTAGTATCTTCTGATTCAACCTTAGGAGGCTTGGGCAAATTGCCACAGATTACATTTTAGCAATGCAGGTGATAAAAATAATGTTTTTACAGGTCTGCTGTTTCTGAACTTTAGCAGTTATTGTCCTCCTCCTAACAGTGAAATGGAAAAATCTTATTCTTAACACTTTCATTTCAGATGCCTTTATTTTCATTGCCATGGAAATTATAGCTGTGAGCAGTGCCATTGGGGAAAAAAAATGCATATTTCTGAGTTTCAAATTACTCTTAAATTATCCTAATTCAAGAAATTTCTCTTTCAACACACATTTACTTTATATATGCAAGAGAGATATTACATTAATGTAAATAACTGTCTATCTATGCTTAGTTAACACTCCCTTACACTTATCCTTACGTTGAATCATTGTCCATATGGCTGCCTTAAAATGTTTTGTAATCCTAAGTACATATCACCTCAGACATTTAGGACACACTTTATAGAAGCTCAGTTGAAGTGACTTGTTCTAGTCATTAAAATCTTTATTTCATATCAAATTTATTTCACAAGTCAGTATATATGTGAAAACTTGAAATTCTAAGTTTTCCAAATAAATTAACAAAATTGTACTTAACAGCTGTGGTGTTGGAAGGGATGACTCATGGTGTGCAGACACTGAATTGCCAAAGTTTTTCCCCTCATTACTAATGTTCTCTTGGGAAAGGCTTGCCTCATGAATATTCAGATGTGCCTCAGAGAATCGTAGAATCATTAGAGTTGGGAAATACCTTTCAGATCCTCATGTCCAGCCCAAAACCTAACCCTTCTAAGTCCACCACTAAACAGTGTCTCTAACTGAAACATCTACACATCTTTTAAGTACCTGTGGGGAGGGTGACACCATTTCCCTGGGCAATCTGTTCCAGTTCTTGGCAACCCTTTCAGAATATCCATTCTAATCCTCCCCAGCACAGTGTGAGGCTGGGTTCTTCCTATCACTGCTACATGGAAGAGATTAATACCCTCCTTTCTGGTCATTGTAGAGAGTCAGATCAACACTCCCACCCAACTCACTGTTGTCTGCAAACTCAATCCCCTCATCCAGGTCACAGGTACAGATATTAAGCAGCACTGGCACCAACCCTGAGCCTTAGGGAACAACAATGGTGACCAGTCACGAGCTGGATGTAACTCCATTCCCCCCACTCTCTGGGCCCAGCCACACAGGCAGTTTTTTATCTAGGGAACAGAGCATCTGTCCAAGCCAGGTTCTCCAGGAAAGAGCTGTGGGTGAAGATATCAAAAACCTTACTTAGGTTCAGGTAGAAAACATAAGCAGCTTTTTCCTAGTCCACAAATTGAGTTATTTTGTCACAGAAGGAGATTGGGTTGATCAAGGGGGACCTGTCTTTCATGTCACTCTTGCTGGCTGGACCTGATGTCTGGTTGCTGTGTACATGCTGTGTGATGGGAATCAGGATGTTCTGCTCCCAAATCCTGTATGTTCATTCACATTAAACTACATTTTTTCTTCTCTTCTTTCTGCACCATGCTAGTGTATTACATAACTGTATACAATAACAACTTTTAAAATTGTCTCTGGCAAATTTGGGTTATAAATAGAAGTAAAAGCTGGGGGGATGTCTTGTATATTGGGTCAGTCTTTCACTTTCTAGGTGGAGCAAATCTCCTAAAGGTAGTAGAACCTGGTCCTGTGAGAGTCTTTTGTTTCCTGCTGGAAAAGGAATTTGAAGTGTTGTCTTTTACTATGTGCTACATGCCTCTAACAAGATGAAATGTAAGAGAAAGGGAATCCCACAAAAAATCCTGTGGGATGCATTTTTGTTTCATGAACTGTTGAAGTGAATGAGATGGGAGATGAAGCTTTCAGATTTGGGGAAAGACATTGATGTAGTGAAAGGGTTGGGATAGATTTCAGGAAATTTGCTGTCTCTTTCTGCTTCCTGTGGCTGTAAACTTGGGAAAGTAACTTCATCTTTATGCCTTTTCTGCTAGCGTGTGAAATGGAGATAACCACTTCTTTTGTCTCTCTTACTTGTTTTATGTCTAAACTTACTAGGGAAGAGACACTTACATTATACATTTTCTGAGAGACTTCAGTAGGATCCTAATCCAATTTGGGCTTTCTAAATGTCTCTGGTTGTCACAAAAATAATAAAAAAATTTCACAATTTCTACAGAACTACACACTGTGTCTCATAGCTGACTGTGTTGCACTGTTAGCAGGGCAGAAACAGTGTGATTATATTTGGAGGCTGCATAAGAATCCTGACACATTAGGTGCTTAATTTCTTTGCCTTGTGGGCTGGAAGACTTTCCACTGTTTGTGAAAACTACATTGAAATGGAGAACTACATCCTATGTGCCTACACACAACATCATTTTACTTCCCAGCCAGATTTTCCCCAGGTTAGGTACTTTTATGGATCTCCCTGCTTCTCCTTGTGATAAGGTGCACAGCCAACATTAACATTAATGAGAGCTGCATGTGCACTCGAAGAGAGAATCCAGGCCTCTGGGCATATTTAATTGCTATCAGACCAAGACTATTCTGCATAACATGGGGTATGCATAGAACATGGTAATGAAACAGAGCAAAGGGCTTGCTTAGGAAGGCGTGTATAGCACTCTGTGGGGAAGCTCTGCAGAACCTGGGAAACTCTGCCATCACGGAGAGAAACATGGATGGCATGCAGGAGGAAATGTCATATTTGGGGAGCACACAGATTGTAGTGTGGCTGTAACTGATAGTTTGGATACCTTTGTAGTGTACAATCAAGACATGCTGCTGGGAGCAATTAACTGTAGAAGCAAGATGCTAAAATTTTCTTTAAATCTCTCTTCTTTCCTGCGTGAAACTTGGACTTGCTGTGTTGTCTCTGACTTTCCAGTGACCATGCTTTAGGTTGCAGTGAAGAGGAATAAACAGAGTGTAGGCAAGATTAAAAGGCATGTCATTATATTTGAGGGAGTGGAAATTGAGCGCTAGGAAAGAGCAGAAGGGTCTAGTGCTTGTACTCCAGTCCTATCTCCGAGTTCCTCTGTAAGTAGTTTGATTCATATCAGATTCTACTATTCAGAATAAAGCAAAATTATAGATTTTTTTTTTATCCCAGGGAATACTGATTAACTTTCCCCAAATAATGACTGAATGTAATGTACAAATAGCAACAAAAATTCAATATGCTCATTGAATTCAAGTACTGAGGGAGACAGTTTCTCTGGGAATAATAATTTGTCTAAAATATATATATTTTTAATAAATTCCAGGGAATTGAACTAAAAAGTTAGGGACAGTTCTGGATAGCTGCATTATAGGGCCTATGTTCTAAGGGGACTGTACCATAGCATGTTTCTCCTAAAGCCACATGAAGTTAAGCATTTCTCTCAATCAAAGGCTTGAATGTTATACAGTAAAGGTGAATCCAGCAAAATTGTTATAATTTGATCTAAAGCACATTAAAGGCTTCTCACTCTCATTAGAAAGGTTGGGCCACCTCTTATGTTACAGGTACAAAACTACTCTCACAGTAGCATATCTACCTGTAAAGACAGGGACCTTTCAGCTGTACTGAGTGCTTCAGTCCCAGGATAGTGCCTCGAGGTCTCTGTGAGTAGGAAGAGGAAGACACAACTGTGGTCTCCCCACAGAGTTGCAACTTCCAGCAACTCTGAAAGCTGTGAGGCCAATGGCCATTGGAGAGAAACCTTTTGGAAGCTGTAATTTATACCATTTATGTTCAGTGCACAGTTAATCTATGAAGTAAAGGAAAATGAAGGCAATTTAGATTCATCCATCCATAAAATAGGTCACCAAAGAGCTGGTTTAATATGGCACTAGTAAGACCATAGTCATGACGAGGCAATGCTGGGCTGGGATCAAATGAATGGATATAGTTTCATGTAAACAATGGAAGCAGCTTTTAGTGGAATTTCATAAAGAACGACATTGGATCAACAAGCCAGTTTCTATAGCGTTTAATGAAGACTCCATATAATATCGGGAATGGAAGTCTGCATATGCCTGTAGCTGATTTCTAATTAAAGAATAGAAGGTTCAGCTGCAGAGCCGTACTAAGAAACGTGCATTCAAAGAATTAGGAGTAGCCTACCCATTTAGTGATGCATTATTACACTTCTTTCTCTTGGATATCTCTTTAGTTCTCTGAAGTTAAATATGATACATATGGGAAATAGATTGAAGTACATTAATTGCCTTATTCATCATGTCATTAAAATTATAGGTCTTGCTGCAGACTAGCTGCAATGTCTTATTGTGTTTCTGGCACACATCATTAACAGAAACAGTCCTGCTAGTGGTATGCAAAATGTACTTTCTAAATAACTGTACAGTGATTTGGGGCTCACTTATGCAACATATTGCTACAAACTATTGTAATACCCCTGGCACTTGCCTAAACTCATTGGGCTAGTGATGGAATTAATGAGGCTGGTGCTGCTGCAGTATGCTGAGCACGCTCAGCTCCTTCGATGCTCTTTGTCTGCAGTGAGGCTCTTGTCTTTCAGAGCTGGCTGCCGCTCTGTCTCCAGGGCTGAGCCTGGGATCAGATAATGAACAGCATATCAGTGCAGCAGAGGGGGTAGGGGGTGATGGGAGAAGACTTATTATTCCTTCACTCTCAAACAAAACAAAATCATTGAACTGTCAGGGTCATTAAGGACCCTGGGGTTGTCATGGAAACGACCTTTGGGGGTTTATGGCTGTTAATGCATGAGTGACTGTCTGTATTATATGTGTGTGGAAGGGGTCACCGTTTTCTTGGTGGCTTCTAAAAAAAGCTGGATTGGATGGCTAACGTTCAGAAAGGAATTTCTGTGCTCTGTGGTGTGACTAACTATTTTGAATGTAGCAGACTTTGAAGGGGAGGCGGAATAAAAAGCTTTACTGACAAATATTTAGACAGAAACATAATTACTCTTGAGTTTTGTTTCAGTAGCAATGCAACTTTATTTCCAAGTGTCTTAAAATACAGTCAGACTCCATAATCTTTTTAGGATACTTATCTCTGAAAGCAAATAATTTTGCTTTGGATGATTTCAGGCCAGCAATACAGGGCACCACCTAGGGAAATGACAATAAATTTTAGAGCTGTCATAGCCAGAGAGAAAAAATGTTAATGTACAATGCTAATAAAATCTTCCTCATCATCATACAGACTTTCTGTATGACATTGGGTACATCATTTAACTGTTGTCCTGTTCAAGTCAATGCAAGCCATCAATTGATTTGAGATTTGTAATAATGCTTGTTAAAAAGGAAGGACATCTGATTTTAAGAATGTGGGTTTAGGACTCTGAGTATCCAGAAAGAAAAGTTATGGTATGAGTACATCAAAGATCAATTTTACCTAATCTTTTACACTCACAAGTAAAAGTCATCATGGCATTTTGCTTTATCAGCCACTCTCTACTGGCTGATTAACAATTAGATGGTTATACTTCAGTTTTCAGTAGAGACTACAGCGCTTGTCTCCATATAGAGAAAGGGAGGGGGAGGGGGAGACAAAGAGGCAGCAAAGCAGGGATAATATTAATGATTCCCTTTATGACAGTCAGGAAATACCACCAGAAGCCAAAAATACTAGAAGTGAGGAATCGTGGTAACAATTATTTTAATGTTGTATGGAACTTAGTATGTATTCAGTTTGATTCTTCAGCTCTTTATTTCAGAAAAAAAGTTCTGTGTTTACAGTATACTGAGAAAGGAGCTGGATTGTTTGCCCCCCACACTCTAAGATAAATGAATGTGGTTGACAGGTTAAAAATTGGAGGCAGAATTTTACTTATCTCCTGTTGTAGGGGAGAAAGCCTAAGTTTGGCCATGCTGAATTAAGTATTCATGATTTTGCATACTTTTTTTTTTTAAGTTGTCTCAGGAAAATCACATCATCTTTCTTGGCTTTCGCCTTTCTTCTGTAAAGGAGGAATAGTCACACTTTTTTATTTCATACATTCCTTGCAACAATCGTAATAAACTCAGGTAATCCATCATAAGGGTGGCATAAACATCCCTGACAGCAGGATGTGACTTCATGGCTTATAGCCCATCCCCACTCCTACTTTTGCAGCTTCAGAAGTTTCTTAGAGTGATCAGGGGCAGCAAACACAATAACAAAATTTCAGAAAATCACAGTTGTATTGGTGTGCTTGTATATTTCAAAAATTCTTTCTTGTAATTACACTGGTTACAGCATATCTTTATTAAATAGATTAAGAAGATAAGAATGTCGTTGTATAACTGAATCTGAGCTATGCTCAGGTTAGAGGAGTTATAAAATGGAATTGTATTTATATATGTTGATGGTAGTGTTATAAGAGAAAAACGTATTTGGGGAGATTCTTAATAGGCTTTCATTCACCTGACTCTTAAGGCATCTCTGTATTTGAGGTTTTCTGGCCAAAACTCTTTCAGTGCTGTCTTGCAATTTTATGAAGAAAAATTAATCATGAAAGCTCAAGGTTGAGTTTAGTCAAGCTGAGTGTCAAATTTGTTTAAATGAGAAATCTTGTATTAGCTCAATTTCCCTTGAACTGGTGAAAATTCAGACTGAAAATCTGTAGGCTTTAAGAACTGTTGATTTGGTGTGCAATCCACCATGCCACCAGTCATAGTATCTTCTTGATAGCTTGTCTCCCATCCTTGCTTTTTGTCTTCTCTCTCTATTCCTGCTTTTTCAGCTCCTCCAAGCATTTCTTGTCACTGCTTCACTAGGATCTCCTCAACCCTGGCAACACACCCCACCCCTATCTGCAGATTTAGAGAGGCAGGTTTGCTTCTATCTAAATGAAAATAGCACATTAGCTAAGAAATGCATATGGAAGTCAACCTTGAGCACCTTGTCTTAGTTAGTTTGCTTTCTCTCATCTTGTATTTGGTGAAAATTCTCACCAATCACCTTAATATCAAGGCTGTCAGTATGCTGAGTTTTTTTTATGTCTGGCCAATATAGTAAACATTTGGAGTTTTGCTAATCAGATATTTTCCCAGCCTAAGAACATTTTCAGAAATATATTTTTTTTTCTGTGCTAGGTACACTGAAAAATTTTGATGCACATAAACCTTACTGTATTTTTTACATTTGTTGAGAGTCTGTTAGTTTCCAAGAGCATTAGAAGTCACTTAGAATCCAGACTCTCTCCTAGAATATTTTATTTAGTCTCTTATAATCCTGATTCCAGAAAAAAACATAACAGGTTAGAGAAATAGTCATAAAATTACAGAGATTGAAGAAGAAAGTCAGGAGTACCATGGGTCATTTGGCCCAACCTTTCTGGTCAGGCAAGGTCATCCTAGAACAGATTGCACAGGATTTCTCCCAGAGAGTTTGACTTCACACCCTCTCTGTACAATCAGTTCCAGTGCACAGTAAAGTTCTTGCTCATATTCTGGTGGAACTTCCTATGCGTCAATTTTCCCCCATTGCCTCTTGTCTTACTCCTTTGTCCACTGTCCTACAAGTTGCCACATATTTAAATGCACCAATTTACTGTCCCTGGTTCTCTTATTTTGGATAAATCTTTGTATCTTTCAACAGTTGAATAATTCAGAGCATAGTACATTGCAAGACTTGTTTTGCTTTTTGTTTTTCCAGTAATATATTCCACTCAGACTCTAGTTCAGTTAGAGTTTCAGTGAAGAACTGATCAAGGATAAATTTGAGGAGAAATTGCAGCCACATGGATCACTGTGTAAGCTGGGCTAGATCTCTTAATTTCTCCTGACCTGTGCTCATTTACCCCAGTTTAGGATCTTCCTTGCTATTGCACTGCGGTGGGTTGGCCTTGGCTGGATGCCAGGCATACACCAAGCCTCTCTGACACTCCCCTCCTCTGCAGAAGCAAAGGAAAACCAAAGATTTATTCTCTACTTCCCATCAGCAGGCAGTGTACAGCCCCTTTTCAGGAAGCAGGGTTTCAGTACATATAATGGTTGCTCTGGAAAATAAATGTAAAAACAAATGCTCCTCACCTCCTTCTTTCTCCAAGCTTTTATTGCATTTTATCATTTTGGGTCAGCTCTCCTGGCTTTGTCTCCTCTCCAGATCCTGCCCACCCCCAGCCTATTGGTAAGGGGTAACTCTTGGAGAGACAGCAGGGGCCGAAGCACTGTGTGTTAGAAACACCTTTCTAGCCACCAGTGGGGTACAGCTCTGTGAGGGCTGCAGTGGAGAAAATGAATTCCATCTCAGCCAGACCAAATCCATGCACTTTCATGGCAGCCCAAGGGGAATTTAGCACAGGAGTACCATACAAACCAACTAGGATGAAAAAAGATGATATTCATTTTCTTTCTCAGTCTAAAGGGATTACTTTTGTAATTACACCAAGTTCTGAAATGCCTTTAGATTTGTTCAGTGCCAGGGAATCTGAATTTACATCAAATGCTGCATAATTCATATGGCATGGACAGCAATTATGAGTTAATTGAGAGGGTAATGTTTAAAAAAAGGCACATTATGAAGAACATCGGAACTGTCGAATTGAAGACAGGCTCTTCAGCCCATTGAGGCTCATTTTTTTAAATGTTATTTTATTTAACGTGATAGTGGTTGTCTTTTGAACAATGCAGGAGAACCCTATGTTCCTGGTCCTGCACTATTTTTTGTTTAGGCAGCATCTGATACATTTTTTTTTCTGGAATAAGTAATTCCAAAGTCAGGTATGAAATTATTCCTTTCCATTTTACACACTGTTCTAAAATGTGTGCTTGATTATCTCTCAGCAGCAGCCATAACCTTAAAATCAGATATAGTTCAGTTAATACAGTCCTCTTGATCCTTTCTCACCTTTCAGATTATAGGGATTAGGCACTATATACTATCTATACTGTTGCTGCCTTTGTTCCTACAGTCAACAGAGTCATCACTTTTCTCTGTACATTCTCACATGTTATAATACCTACTTTTGTAAAGCTAGCTTGAAAGGTTCACTGGTAATCTGAACAGTTTCTGGCCTGTTTCCATGCCTTTGAATAGTGAAGACATTTAATGCTGTTAAGAAAATGTTTGTGTTTTGCATTTCAAGTGCTACTGTGCCAACAAGAACTGTAGAGGAAATCCACCTCACCTACACAAAGCCAATGTCATCAGGCTTTCAAAGACACTCTTAGTGGAGGCAGGGAAATGAAATTCAAATATCCTCATCTATAGGCAGGCCACAACAGGACTACAACAAAGGATCTTGACATCTCTTATTTCATTTTTGATGCCAGTAAAAGAGGTTGGGGCCACTCTGTGTTACTGGGCTGGTCCTTAGGATTCCTTGCTTGAGTTGCCTTCCTGCTGCCTCTGCCATGCCAATTTACTCAGGTCTTAAATGAAGTTCCCACTTGTAGCATGCAGGATACATGAATTCATATTATTTGCAGATTTGCAGATTGTAATATCTTATGCTGCTCTACTCTCTGCACAAGCTGATAGGAAAGGCTTTATTTTCATATTAATCCTTTGAACCTGCTATTTGAAAAGAAAAAACACTCTTAGTGGCTAAAAACAAGCTACATTTCTTTTTAAACTTGAGTATGTGGCTGAGTCAGTTTTATGTGGATTTGACATGGACTGAGTCAAATTTTAAAATAACCTGTTACCTTTCAAAGAGAATTTAAATTTAAATTTTATTTTGCATTTAAAATGTTGACTGAAATGTACAGCAACAAAAGTGTCAATTCAAACATTTTTACATTTTTGATTGCTTTTGGGTTTTGTTTTGTTTTGTTTTTTTCAAAATTCAATTTTAAAGCCAGTGATGTAGCAATTGATGTCATACTTGACAACTTATCCATTCAGCAATGGCATATACAAGTGTAAGAATTTGCTCTGATAATTTAATGACTTTTAATCTAAAACATATGAGATCAAGAAGTCCACACTGGAAACCAAGGGTAATTTCTCCAATACTTATGTGAATAAATCAGTGGCAAGGAAAAAAATGTGGCTAAGTTGCATGAATGAGTTATCCAGGACGCAAACCATGCAGACACTGTATGTGTGCATGTCACAGTCTGTGAGGCTGTGCTTCTATCAGAAGTTTTGTTGGATAAACTTGGAAGACTCAGGAGCTGAGGAGCAAAGGAGAGGAGAGGCACCTCAATTAGCTTAATTTAGTAGTATAACCATGTCACACACATGGATAATTACTTCATCACTATTAGTGATCCATGCATCAAGAAAGGCCAGTGCTGCTGCCTGAAACACAAGTGACTCAACTCTCACTTGTCATCAGACTCTGCAGCACAATCACCCAGGACTGTTCATGGGGAGTTTCTCTCTCAGATTATTTTTCTACACCTCAAAATCCTCTTCACTTATCCTGAAAAAAAAAATTTATTCAGGAGCCAACATTCTTGCTGTACTCTTTCTTTTCAAAGTCATTCCAAGAAATTCTAAATGGCACCTATTTTGTTCAAAGGCCAGCAGAATCCTGATGTCTACATTTTTTCTCCCTGACATTAGTGTTTCCTTTCCTGATATTCCCTTCAGTGCAGGGCCTATTTATAACTGGGATTTTTATCTAAATTCAACCCTTGTTTCCCAGATTTGTCTAATGACTTGTTCGAAGACAAGGGAAATATTCTAATCCTTCTGGCCTTCAGTACATCATTTGGTGCCACCTGGGAAATTATTGGTGAAGGCAGGTGAGATGGGGATCAGAGCAAGGACTGTGAAGTGAATAAGGCACTGGCTGAAAAGAAGAGACTGAGGGTTGTGCTCAAAGGGGAGGGAAGGCTACAGTCAGTTAAGTCCTCAAGAACTCTTAAGTCCACTCTTAGGACTAATATTAATTTTTTTTTAATGACCCGGAAACAGAAAATAGACAAGCTAGTGACACTTGAGAAGTGGATTAGAGATTCCTAAAAGTAGGAGGTTAAGAATGTCACAAGAGAACTGGATTATGTTCTGTACAGGTGGCATTAATTGTTCAAATTGTGAAGCAGCAGTTCATATTACAACCTAGAAGCAATACAAATGGAAACAATGGGAAGGAAAAATTCTAGGCTTCTTAGTTGATCACAGTAGAGTTATGAATCACCAATGAACACAGCTGTGGAAAAGTTGTGGTCTGAGGGTGTGTCTAAAAAATTACTCATATAGGCAACACTGATAGTGTTGAAGATTTCTTTTGGGATGATAATCACATTGGTCTCTTAGGAAAGAAAGATGATTCCAAGGTGTAACAGAAAAAGTTGACTGGAATGAACAAGGATGCTTACATACTGTTCCACAAGAGAAGGAAAAAAACATCTTTACTTATTCAGCCTAATATAATGTTCTTTCTGCTGGAAGGAAAGACTGGAAAAGAAAAGAGACTATTTGTCTTAAGAGAGAATACTAATACAAATAGAACTGAGCATCATAAGTTTTAGAAATTAAAAAGACTCTTCTGGAGCAGTTATCCTAGCATTGTAAAGGAGTTGGGATACTTTGGTGGTTTTTAACTGGGACTGGATGCCTTGACTGCTTTGGTTGCTGGTCGCTTGCCTCCAAAGAAAAGTCCCTTCCTGCTTAAGTTTAGTAACATAAGATCATCCTACTAGCATGGAGACTAATTGACAAAGTCATCAGGGGTATTAGCAAACTAAAACTTGGAGTTTCTGTATATAGCTATAGTTTCCTTTACTAGACAGGATATGAGTTTGAAGGGAGTAAGAAACATAATTGTTATCTGTAGTGAAGGCATGGCTCACATCGATATTCTTACATATCCTGTTATCCTGATGAAAAATCAAAAGGGAATGAGAGAAGGAGGGAAGGTTAGACTTTGAAAAAATAATTTAGAATAAGTATTTTAATTAGTGTGATAAATTTCAATTGTTTATTGGGGCATTTTTGTTACTGTTGTTATTGTGTGACACTATGGCAGTCATGCATCATGCATGTGTACAGGGGGAAAAAAAAAGAAAAAAACCGCACCAAAAACCCTGGGAAAATAATCAGTAAATATGAGAAAGTGTAAATTGTTCTCTTGTAATAAATATAATAGAGAAGTAACCAAGATTTTAAAATTGTATTTATTTTTTTCTAAATAGAGGTTTATTTCTTAAACTTCAGCTTCCAGCCCTTGTCAGATCCTCTCTGGGCCCTTTTTCTCTGAAGCTGATGTGATGATGCTTTCAGTGTTGTCTATTACTGGAGGCTGGGTGAATAGCCTGACTTGTTTCATAACCATATTTGTACAGCACCAGTCTATGGTTCTTGCATTGTAAATATTTTCATTTTTTAGTTAATTTCAGTGAGGCAATTTGAACAGCTCTCATTAATTTTCCATTTATAGTCTGTAATAAAGACTAGAAATGGTGTTGAGTTGTTAAGACAAACATAGATTAGTGACAAGAGCTTGCTAATCATCTCTCCTAAGTTAGTAACTACAATAATGATTTGGGAGATCTTGAAGAGTGGCAAGAATGGCTAAGTACCTTGAAAGTCTTCAGCAAAGAAGGACTGACACAGGAAGCAGTAATTTCAATGTACACTGATTTGGAGCTGTAAAAGTAGCAGTTTTTAGAGAGTTTTGCATATTGTTTTCACTTACATTTAGCCAGTTTATATATCTTCCAGACTGTTTTGCTTTCCCTCTAAAATTGTAGCATCTTTCAACTTTGGCTTCACAAACCCGATGACTAAATTATGTGGGGAAATGCTAATAAAATATATTTGAATTGGTATCATTATCTAGAAATCTGCTTGCATTGAGTACCTCTCTGTATTCTGTTGGACAGAAAAGGGATTGTTCATGAGAATAGGGAGTAAAGGCTGAGTTCTGTGATTAAACCTTTCCCGCTCCCCATGAGGGTTACAGATTGTTTCCTTCAGACTCACCTGCTGTTTGAATCCAGGCAGCAGGGTTATCCTCTGGCCAGTTAGCAGCAGCAGCTCAGCTGGGAAGGGGAAGGAGGGCACAGCCTTACTTGGCACAGCCAGCCCTGCTGCTCAGCCAGGGCAGAGCCCCGAGCAGCCGCGCTGCGCCTGGCAAAGCACAGAACGCCTGGAGCCCAGGCCTCGGGGGAGAACAGAAATGAGATCACCATCTCACCGTACCTTGGCTGAGCCCAAGCAGTACAAGAGGACTGAAAAGGCAGAACTGTGTGAAAGGAAAAGACTAGAGAAACAGAGAGATAAATGTAGAATCTCATCAGCAGTCCTGAGCTTGTTGTTCTCTCTCAGGCCTAAGCGAGGTTGCTCACAAGCTAGGAGGTGGATGAACTAACCTATTTAATCCTTTCTTCTGGGTAGTTCAGAGAAAACTGCTTAGCCTAGGTGAGAAATAACAGACTTTTGGAAGGGTGTCTCTGGTCTTGGTGCCTGATCAGACCAATCACTGAATGCTGAGTGCAAATGAGCCAGTAAAAACTGTAGTAATTTGACTAGCGTAACTTTCCATTAAAATAATTTTAGCTTCTGTATTAGCTTAGAAAAAGGTAGATCAGGGTGTTATGTATTACTGGACCAGTATGCTAATATGGTCATATCACAGCCAGCTCAGCTTATTTGGCAGAACACTGCAACATAATATACTGTAGTGTCTTAAGGACCAGACCAGCCTTGGACTATATAAACAGTGACTTTAGTGTTCCTAAAATTCAGTAATAAATTCCTATTCATATAACTTTATTAGCTGAATCATGTGAAAGACATGCCTTTGAGCCAGGGCAGGTGTCTGTTTTAGTTCTGCAGCACCATGCCATCAATATAAAACACAGTATAGTAAATTCAAAACTTCCCTGAGGATCTTATCCAGCACCAGTGATTCATTAACTCAGGTTTCATACTGGATGGGAGCAGATTAATACAGTAAGAACAAAGGTGCCAGATGTACAGTTTTTTGGCCATGTTTTAAAGTGTATGTGTCAAAGAGCAGAAATAAAGGAAATGTTTGACCTTTATTTCTTAAGTCCCAGAAAAAAGACTTCTGGCTAATTTCCATTATGTATGGTAATGTTAAAAAAAGTCTTATGCAATTAAAAGAATTTTACATTAAAAAAATACAATTACTTTATAAGGACTGAATATTGCTTTCTTGTGGCAGATAAAATAGGTTTCAAGGCCTGCAGAGAATAGGCACATGCTACCTTTACATATGTGAGCAGGTACCAATAACAAACAAAACCAGCAAACTTCTCTGGTGTATGACACATCATCAGGACAAAAGTCAACACTTGGCAATCCTCAATGAAAGAATAAAGTTCCTCTACTGGGATCAAAGGCCAACCTTTCGTGGTCAGGTGTTGAGCCGTGGCTAGTGGCCTCACTTTATTAATGGAGCTTCTGAAGATAACTGGGAGTCAGTGGCAAGTTTGTATGTAGAGCCAGTTATGCTCTGTCTAGCTACAGAGTTGAACTCCATTATCAATACTATTCACTAAGACCAGTATCTCCTATTTTCAGGATAGTTCAAATAATGAGAAATTCAAATAACTAGGAAATATAGCTTATAAGTAGGAATAAAGCAAATGGCTTGATACAAACTGATACATTGCTTTAATTCAAAATACAGTAAATAAGTACCAAAACTATGGTGATAATTTTTTTGGTTTAGAGATGTATATTAAAAGATACTGGTACTTCTCTGCACCTGCACAGGCTGGTTGTATGAAACCTGGTACTTTCATATAGGTCACTGTTAGCAGAGATAAAACAAATGACCAGTGTCTGTGATACAAGACCACTACAGGCTGGAATGTTCATTCCTTCAAGCTTCTGCAGTGGTCCTGAGCTCAGGTGTGGTTTGAAACTGAGAGCACTGCCATGATTTTATAGGGTCACGAGACTCGCTAGAATGTTAAAATAATCCAGTAGCAGACAGACTGCTAAAGACCATGGTGCCAGCAAACAGGCGACAGGTTCATCTGTGATTTACATAAAGTATAAATTGATTAACCCTGAGAGCCCTGTGGGGGATTACTCTGCTGATGAGTAATTTCTCATGCTGATATGTAGGCTCTTCCTTTCCTCTGGGTCACTCCCAAGCGCCTTAAGCATTATTCCTTTGATGTTCATCCTACAGCCTAAAGACATCTCAGTCCACTCTTGATTTTGCACTGCTGGTGACCCCCACACTCCAGGCTGATTGTGGCCTTGCTCCTTGAGAGGCCAGCTGGGGATGGAAGTCAGTGGTGCCATTGCCAAGTGCCAAAGCAGTGGCCCGACCACAAGTCCTCCTACCATGGGCTCTCCTACCTCTGTGTGCAAGGATTTGCAGGAGAGATGGGAAGTAGGTCTGGCTGGGTTCTCGTGACAAGTAGTAGACCACTCTGAAGACAGTATGAAAATACAACAGCCTGTTCATATGAGCAGTCTGAAGACTTCTGTGAATCAATGCTATTTCATTGCACCAGCTGCTTTCAGGCTTGCTCTGGTACCTGCCTCTTTTCTCTCTTTCAAAACATGAGTTGCACTTTAGGTCTTGCCCACAAAATTCAAGCAGAGAAACATGGCGAGTGGATTGTTTTTCAAGTTCCTCAGAATAAAGTTTACTGAAAGGTTTGCCACTTAATATTTCTCATTTCACAGCTTGATTTAAAATGTCTTATACGGCAAAATGAGAAAACATTTGAAAAAAAATGAAGGTATTATAATAGAAATAAAGACTGATTATTTTTCTTTGGATAATATTTCCTTTAATTTCCTAGGGTGTACTGGATTGTGTTTATGTAACCAGACATTCAATATATTCCAGATCTCGTTATTATAACTCTAATGACTTGTCCCAGTAATTTGCTGCCAGTGTGTAATAGTGCTTATATATGGGGGTGGGTTAGAGCTAATTGCCACAGAGCCCTTTTTATTAGGGCTACACAGATTAGTAGCCCACCCAAGTTTATGAAATATATACACATTTACAAGCATGTTGATCTGATTAAGGCTGAGAACAAGTCCTTCTGAACATAAATACATGTAAATCTGCAAATAAATACACATTTTTTAAAAAGTGACTTTTTAAGGAATGTCTTTGTTCTATTGTGTGAAAAGGCAGATGTTTTTCAGTTGATAGTTTTATAGAGTTGCTTTTCAGTTCCTGATGAAAAAGCATTATTGTCCTTGTAACATTGCACAGTGTATCTTTAGTTTTGCTTCTTAAAGTATCATACCTTTCGGAACCTGAATGTACTTTTAAAAACTTGTTTTGGGTGCTTGGATACAGAGTAAAAATGATTTCTTCACTGAAAAGTTGTATATCAGCCCTTCGTTAATTTTCTACTATTTGGAGCCTTCATTGATTTCTGTGGGTGCTGATCTGAGCTTATATTATATCTGCCATAGAGGCTGCAAGCTACTGACAAGGTACTAAAGTCAGTTTTGCCAAAAAAAGTTAACTGCCACTACACATGCAAAGTTTGGCTGGACATTAAGCAGTAGAAACTTCCGGAAGGTCTCCTGGGTCAGCTGTGGGAAGGAGTGTCTATTAAATCTGCCTCAGAGTGCCCAATGCAATTTCTTCTTTTAAGGATTTAGTCAGCTTCAGGGCCTGAAAGTTTCTTGTCTAGCTTCAGAAGCTACAGTGCTTGACTCTCCTGAGACTGTCTGAAAATTCAGACAGCTACTGCCCCATGATGATCTCACATTGTCAGGCTGTATTTCTCACCAAGCCCCAGAGTGACAGCAGCCTGTGAAAGTAGCAGAGATTCCTATATCCTCAAGTGGACCAGAGATTGGACTGCCCAGCACTTAGTTGTTGATTTATACAAGATTATGACTGTGAGAATATAACTAAGGCAAGAAGAGACCAGAAAATCCTGTTGAGACTCAGCAGAACAGGAGGTGTAAAAAGCCAGGAGAGAAAAGATGGCTTTAGCAAAAGGGCCAGCTGTGTTTCTCACATTGCAGGATGTAAGTGTCCCTGCAGGCAGGAGGAACTGAGAATATGTACCTGAGGCACTGCATTGATACAAGTAGTTTCAGGTATTTAAAATATCTAGATTCAGTTGTATAATTATTTGATTTTTCTGCACATATTCTCACCAGAGAAAGTGCCCAGAAAATTCTTGTTGTTAGTAATATTAGTCTTTTTTCGATGAATCCTCAGGAACCCCGAACAACTGCATCTTTCTTGGGGAAAAGGGCCTGAGTGTGCAGGTGTTCAGCATGGTGGGTTTCTGGCTAAATTGGACTGCATCCTAGACTTCGTGCTTTTATATTGTCAGGATTCGAAGGCACAGTTCTCCCCCACATCCCATCTTGCATGTGAAGACAATATGGCATACACTGACACTTAAGTTCTCAGGAAAATATGCTGCACGTAGTAAAGCCACTTACTGGTTACAGAATCACCAAGCATCTTTCATCTCTCTAATCTCTCTATGTCACCAGGTAAGGTCCTGACACTTCATATCCAGGAGTGGTTTTTATTTTCCTCAGGAGGACATTTAAGATGGTCAGGAGAACTCTATCTGAGGAAGAAGTATAATGACATTCAACAGAATTTCTTGATTAGTCATATTAGGTATTTAAATAGAGGTGGCCTGTGTTTTTTATTACTGTTCTGAAAAGCTGCACTGTGAGGTAGAAGCCAGTAACTGGCCATATGTGCAAAAAACCCCCCATATATACAACTTGACTTATTTGTATGGCAGCAGTAGAAAGATTATCATCATAACATCCTTCATAGAATATTTTGTATCGGGCAGCCTTCCACAGCTGTAGTTCTCAATCTTTATTAGATCTATTATGCAAACACAGAAGGTTTCTTGAGTCAGCAAAAACTCAGCAAACTGATATGTGTTGTTCATGCTGCCTTGCAAATCATTGCCCTAATCACCCAAGAGTTGATTAAAGTGGAGGTTGATTGGTTAATTTGCTCTCAACCTTGGAGAACCCATGACTTTGATTATTACAGTAGTTATTTAAAATATGTGTTGTGCCATTCTTCTTAGGGTTTAGCTGTATTCTAAAGACAAACATGAATTTATGGATCATTATTAAAAAAGAAGAATAAAGA